TCAGTGAATGTCCGTATGTGAATGTGTGTGCGCCTGTGTGTCTGTGAATACCGTGTGTGTGTGTGCGTGCATGCGTACGTGACTATGTGTGTCTGTGAAACTGTGCGCCCGTATGTATGTGTGTGTGTGCGCCCGTGTGTGTTGTACGTGTGTGTGTGTGTGTGTGTGTGTGTGTGTGTGTGTGTGTGTGTGTGTGTGTGTGTGTGTGTGCGTGTGTGTGTGTGTGTGTGGCTACTGATTTTGCGAAATAGGTGAATAATCGTACTCTGAGAAATTGTCTTCAGGAATTTTGAAATTATGGATTTATTTTGCGAAAGTGACTAAACGTCCACTTGATTTTCAAGAACAGGTCATAGTTCATCTCACAAGCCATTGGTAGTTCGATTCTTGATAAAGATATTTCTTGCAGCATGTTTGTACCAGATTAATACTCCTTCCATATCTCTCTCTCACTCTCTCTCTCCCCCTCTCCCCTCTCTCCCCCTCTCTCTCCCTCTCTCTCTCTCTCCCCTCTCTCTCTCCGGTCTTTCTTTCTCTTTGTGCGTGAGGGGGTGCTGGAAAGTTCTCAACCTCAACCAAAATTCTATAAAAATCTGTCTTTGGGTCATTTGGCTAGATTTTGTTATGTGGATCGTGGCAAGAAATTTTCAGCACCCCCTCTCTGATATTATTTTAAACGGTTTTATTTATTGGATACCTGCATTTTAGCAGACGGTCCGTTTGTTTCAAAACATTATTTATTTCGTCTACCGACAGGCGTACTCGACAGTAGGTTGGCGCGTAGACGAAATAAATACGGTTTAAAATAACTGGAGCGTCTATTAAAACACGGGTATCCAATAAAATAGTGTTTTAAATATGAGAGATTGAATAATAAAATCCATAATTTTCTGTGTGTGTGTGTGTGTGTGTGTGTGTGTGTGTGTGTGTGTGTGTGTGTGTGTGTGAAATTGAGAAAAAACAGATGTGTAAAAAAATTCTCTGTGGCGGGCCACTTTTTACGAGATCTTACATGTAGTCTAAGAAAAATAAAATATGGAATAGAGACAAATATCGCAGGAAAGACTGAACATTTTCTTTTTGGTCAATAATTTACAGAAAATGAAGGGAATAAGATATTATCTATCAGTCTACGGCAATTACTTCGTATCTATCTATCTATCTATCTATCTATTCTATCTATCTATCTATCTATCTATCTCAGTCTGTTCATATATATATATACATAAATATATATATAAAAAAAGACATTTTTAAAACGTTGTTATTTTTATAGTATTTTAAATTCTGTTTTATGATAAACAGTATTAAATAACATTTACCGAGGAATGTCATTTTCAGGAAAATATTCGAATATATAAACCGCCATATATATATATATATATGATTTATATATATATTCATATATATATATATATATATATATATATATATATATATATATATATATATATATATATATATATATATATATATATATTTATATATATATATATATATAATATATATATATATATATATATATATATATATATACATACATACGTTTGTATATGAAGAACAAATGGTACTTTAATAAAAGAAAACTAAGTAGAATATATTTTAATATTTCTAACAAACACAAACGCATTCATGCACACAAAATCTATGTCACACACACGTACGTATAGGATATGCATATGTGTGTGTCTGTATATATATATATATATATATATATATATATATATATATATATACATATGAAAAAAGCAGTAGGGTGGTTTTAGGCGATTAATATAGTTTGCTTACTCACGCACAAACAAAAAACGATAAAGATAATAAGGAGAGAAAAGGAGGAAGAAAGTGAAGAAGAGGGAGAAATATGGAGAGAGGCCGGGATATAGGCCAGGATTGACCTTATCGTTGTGTCGAGTCCTTTTCGCTGGAAAATAATCAATGGGAAAAACGGGAGAATTTTGGTGCAAGGCAAACGTGACCTACTTTCAAACTGCTGAATGTCTCTATCTGTTAATACGCAGTCGCGTTCTTCAGTGTTGCTCGCTGTGCGTGTCCGTCTGCGCGCCAATCGGTGTTCCTCACTTACCTCGTTCGCCTGCTTTACTCTATGGCGAACCGTATCGAACACTCATGAAGTGTCCCTGCGCTTTTATTTGCTTTGTATGCAAGTATCTCTCGAGCACAATCACTCGCCCATACGCGTACGGCGTACGTTGAAAATGTTGCACAAAATTTAAGCAATCAGTTTCGAATGGCAAGATCTTCATCGAAAGTTTTCGTTTTATTACAAAATTCTAAACAGTTAAGATGTAATTGACTTTTATTTTCATTTTTTTTTTTTTTTTTGGTGTGTCGATTTAGTAAACCTGCTAGACAACCACGCATTCTGTTTCTCTCCCTCCCCTCTCTCTCTCTCTCTCTCTATCTATCTATCTATCTATCTATCTATCTATCTATATCTGGTTATTTATGTATTGTTCATTGTGTGTGTATGCGTTTGTAAATAAACACCAGCAGAATTCCCACACTTACACAGACACACGCACACAGAAACGAACATTTACATATTATATATATTTCTATATTTCTATAGTATATTTTAACAAGCGAATCATATTGCGATTTTAGATAAAAATATTTTTTGCCTCGATTACTCCGGTTATATATATATATATATATATATATATTAGGCCGGTAGATGTAGTTAGCTGAAAAATATTGTTTAATTAAAAAAACAGAGGTTCTAGTCGAATATGAGTATCCATCATAAATAGTGTTTAAACAAATTAAATGTGTTTTTAATGAATTTTGGAAGCCGACATTGTTTTTTATTACTATAAATGCCATTTTTAGTGGGTACTCATGTTTGAGTTACTCTGCTTATTTCTTTTTATCTTCTTAAACAGAGAAATTATCCAGACCGATCTAGGCCGGTTGATATTTATTTGTCTGTTTAAGAAAAAATAGCAAACAGGGATAACAACTCTAACGTATATACTCACTAAAACTAAAAATAACGTTTATCATATATATATATATATATATATATATATATATATATATATATATATTTTGTTTAAAATTTTCTAGAGATAGAGTGTACTCTCTATATGTATAGATATAGGTACTGTGGACATAGGGATCAACATGGTATGGTGATTGTCAGTTTCAGGTCTGAATGCGACTTTCAGATAAACAATATGCAGTGTTAATTATTCATTGTCTATGTTTTCTCTCTCTCTCTCTCTCTCATTCTCTCTACCCCCTGCCTCTCTCTCTCTCTCTCTCTCTCTCTCTCTCTCTCTCTATATATATATATATATATATATATATATTAGTGAAATCTAATCAATATGTGCATGTTCGCTTTCTGACTATGGAACCTGGGTTCGAATCTCACCATGGTCGATTTGTCAGGAGGAAAATTTATTGACATTATGGGTTTGGAGGAGGTGACCCAAGCTTTGTGAGTGAAATTGGGTAGACAGAACTATTTGACAGCTTTCGATTGCTGTGCTAGCACGAAATCACAAGTCATCGTGACCGAGTGTTTGAGCGTTCTGTTCAGACAGTTGATCATGCTAGATAACGGGCTCTCTCACAGAAACTGTCACTAAAGTTCGTTCAGCATTGATGCAGTATAAACCACAGCTAGGCTCAGTGGGTGTTGAACACACACAAATGTGTTTGAGCAGGCGTCTGCAACAGGGAAAAGGCCAAAATGACAAATAAACTTGAAACCCGGCTTTCGACCGTAAGGCGTCCTCAGTCGAGTGGATGGATGCACAATCCAAAGAAAACTACTCCAATATACCAGAATACTGGAAGTGTGAGGGTAAAAGTATGAGGATGGGGAAGGCGAGAGAGAGAGGAGAAAAAATTGTAAGTGGGGAAGAGAGGACAAAAAAATTAATTATTTAGCTCATCCATGTTCATAGGTACCTAAAAATATTTACTTAAATGCCTGCACTCAGGCATAATCTCAGTTCTCTCATTTAGTAAGACACCTTTATCAGAATATGTGGTAATGGTTCATTTTTCTTCCTAGCAGACCCTGCAACAATTACCACGAATTCTGCCAGTTTTTACCCTCCTTACCATGTTCAACTTTAAACAAGGACTTAGCTCTACATATTCGACTTTGAATTTTGCATTGACCATTTTTTTTTTGTTGTCTAACTTTTAGACCTTCCTTTTACATTTCTATCCGTATATATATTTTTTCCTACATCTTTCTTAGATTATTGCATATTTACCTTAGTCGTCAGTCTTAGATTAAAAATAGTATTTCGAATGTTCATACTCAAGTTAGTCATCACTATCATTTAGAACAGCGCTTTTCAAACTTACGTTTACTGCGACCCACAACAAGAACTATATTTGCCATTGCAACCTATTATACCTACGTGTAATATATCAAAGACAAACTCTGTTGATTCAGTTCATTTATTTAGTATCAACAATTTATATGTATATTTTTTATGATTTGCACATATTGGAATTGCATGTATCTATTTATATTATATATTTGTATGAATATGCAATTATTACTTAAAAAAAGAACTGTCCCTTTCTTAAATTTCGCCGAAACAACATCCAATTCACCGGAAATTCCGAGACTTCAAATGAACACAACACATCATCTTACCACATGAGAAAGAATATACAGGCAGTCGACTTCGACATTGAATCGGGAAATTCACATTTATCCCTGACTTGAGATCTAACTCAATTATTTAACAATCTTAATGGCTTTCACCGGTCACAAAGACGAATGTACTGCACACCTTTGTAGCTAAGTTTTGGCGTAAGGTCTTTTTGTGGGAGAGAACTGACGTCACTCAGTCCGCAACGATTTTGACGAAGAAGATACATAAACTCAATGAAATAGACTATATATATATATATATATATATATATATATATATATATATATAATGTAATACGAGTTTACTTTGGTAAAAAAGTAGCGATGATTTATGCGTGCTGTGTAACATTTGAAGTTGCTTATATTCTGCACTTTGCTCTCACTTGCATTTTTTTCTTTCTTTTTCGCTGTGTCTCCACTAGCTATGTCCACCAACTTAAGGGTCATGAGCAACGAGGGCCCTATGTTGGCCACTTCACAGAGCGTCAGGAACGGTATCTCCGCCTACATCCGAGGGTCTGCTCTAAATCAAAGGAATTGCCATACCCTACATCATCCAGTAGAATTCTGCTTTTTCCACATAATCCTTAACGGCTGGCCGAAATTTTCCACGATTAAACTAACCCAAAATATGGACTCTGAACTTTGAACCCCTTGGACTGTCTGTGTCTGGGATATCACAGTCATAGGACCGACCAACTGTTCTATAATTTTAAGGACTGATTGAAGGCCATCATTGTGGTCGAGATGGTCACCATGGACGAATATCAACTAATTTCAGTATGCGGTCACTCTCGCATTGAACACATCCTCAACTCTGGGGAGATTTTACAGAATAGCAATTTTGAACTCTTCCCTTGAGCATGCATACAAATCTTGAAAATATACTGATTTTTGTTCTCACATCTCTCTCTCTCTCTCTCTCTCTCTCTATATATATATATATATATATATATATAGCAACAGCCACACCAATAACCAATATTTACAAACTTTCGGTTATTAGACATGACATTAAATAACTTAGCATCCCCCATAATTTAGCTTGACTTTCATGGTAAATAAGTTCAAGCTAATAATGTAAGACTTTTTAGCCTCATGTATATTTATGACCTATCTTAAAATTAAAGATTCAAATTTTACTTTTGTACTTGCTTCAAATTAAAATCCTTTCATTTTTCTTGATAAAATCTATCAGAGAACGAAACGCGTCGACTAAGATAAATTTGTCCTTTGTCTTATATATATATATATATATATATATATATATATATATATATGAAAAACCGACGTTAGATCTAACCAACTCGGAGGTGAAGGGTCTCTCTGATCAAGCAAAGCCGAATAGTGTCATATAAGGGTCAATTACTTCAGAGATTATCAAACATTCATATCTGCTCAGTTTCGTATCCCAGCGTAAACAAAGCATTTTCTAAAGTGATGGATTTTTTAGTTAGTAACCCGACAGATTTTAAAAGTTATTTTTGATGGATAACTATATTTGAGTTGGTTGGTAGATGAAAATAAATAAATATACTGTTTGATAAATAAACGGATCGTCTACAAAAGTAATGTGAGGAAATTGAGTAAAAACAAAATAAAAAAAAACTCACTTTTGTTTATTAAATTAAATTACTTAAAGTCTTCCATAAATTACTTAGCATCTTCCATAAATTATCTAGATTTTTCAGTTAGCCTGAAGTATATTTATATTAAATTTAAACATTTTGTAAAATTAACGGCATTTTTTACTTTTCTTTACAGATACTTATTGTAAAATAAAATCCTTAATTTTGCCTTGATCCATCAGAGAAAGAAACGCGTCGACTAAGATGTTTTCCTTTTGTCTTTATTCATAAAAGTGTGCGTTTTCTAATTATTAACCCATTTCGTCTTAGGCAGACATTGTTGGTTTTTATTTCTAAGAAAATGAAATCGATACGTGACAAGTACAGTCCAGAGAATGTTACATAAAAGTCTCCTTGTTTTTAAGAAAATAATTTTCGGATGTATAAAAAAAATAAAAATAAATGAAGGCCCGATATTTTACCTACAAAGCTTTACTTTCGCTTAGATGTACACTTCATGGTCGATTTGGATGACTTTACATGTGTAGATTTTGCGGCAAGACTTCAAAAGGTAAAAATATGAAAAAAAGTAATTTCTACAATTTCCATTGATGTGAGAAGACATCAAAGACAAAGTAGATAAATAATTGCGACGTCATTTCTTTCATAAGATTTCATACAGGTTTTGTTTGGGGAAAATATATATTTGCAATTTGAATTTCTTTTTATAAAAAAGAATAATTTCTATCAACTGAAATATTTTACAAATTCTGATAAATGATTTGAATTATGCAAAGGTTTGTATTTTCGTGTGAAATTGTTGCGATAAATAATTTTAGCATGTCAAAGACTTGTAAAACGTCAAAAGCCAACCATACTAGAATAAGGGGCAAACAAACAAGAAATATTAAATTTCTGGAATTTACATAAAAAGCCAGTATGTATATATTGATAACCAGGAGCCTATTTGAATTTCTTCGATTTCGTCAACGTGCCACATGTGAGTTTTTTATGCCTTTTTCATCTAAGGTTTACTTCCCACTTCATTTGTCATACTTAGTGCATTATAAGACAACAGAGATTGTTTTAATAATTTAAATTAACTAGAATCTGTTTATATAGGTGAGGGTAAAATAACAATGAGTAATTGAGTCAGAGATATTGAGCGTCGTTATAAGTTTGGATGTTCAAAACGTAAAGCAAACGAAGAAAAAAGAAAGAGATCAATAATCGACATCGAAAACAACCAAAGCTGTCCGTGGATTCTGATATTCTCGATGATAGAGT